CTGAACCCTTGACCGTGCAGTTATCAACACCGTGTTCTAACCAACTGAGCTAACCAGCCGGTCCCACCTGGGGACTTTCTGAGGGGATTCATTTGTTCCTCCCATACACTCTTGTATCTTGAATGCTCTGAGAGAAAGGGGCTAAAATTTGTGATATAGCAAGATTAGTTGAGACCAAGTAGTCTTAACCATTGATAAATTTTGGATTTAACATTTTGATGGATCATTAAGGTGATAAAAGGCCATTCCCTNATTGATAAATTTTGGATTTAACATTTTGATGGATCATTAAGGTGATAAAAGGCCATTCCCTCAGGCATGAGTTTGGATCTGAGTTATCAAAAATGCACAATAGGTTTGGAGTGAGACAATCACAGTTGTAATTTCAGATCCCACCATGGACTGCATAGGGGATTCTAGAACAACAACCCCAATAAAGCTTTTGTCTCAGGTTCTGTTTTTTAGAAAACTAAGACATCCCTTTTGTGCTAAACTTATAAATCTGAGACACAGATATGACAGTTTTTTAATCAATAAGTGTGACTGTGTTGATAGCTATTCCTGACTGGTATATTTTCAACTGCTTACCTGCCATCTCTACATGGAAGTCTAAGAGGCCTGTCACTCCCACCAGGTCCACCACCACACCACATTAACAAACCTGTTCCTCCCACATTCCTTCCTGTCTTGGTCAATATCAGTTCCCTTCACCCAGGTGCTCAGGCCAAAAATATAGGAGTTGTCCTGAGTCCTCTTTTTCTCATACTTCACATCCCTTCAGCAATTTTACGGTGGCCTTACCTTTGAAATGTATCCAAAATGCAACCATTTTCTCTACTTTTGCTGCCACTATTCTAGTCCATGCTAACCTAGGTTCTTAAAACCTCTTAACTAGCTGTCTGTTTCTCTTCTTGTCCCCCACAATCTATTTTCTGCATCAAAATCTAGAGATGTCCTTTAAAAATGATGGTCAGACAATTTAATTTCTCTCCTGAAAATCCCCTAAAGACATCCATCCCAGCATAATTGAAAGTTCTTATTACCAAGACCTACATGGCCATGCGTGATGTGGCCTCCCTCTCACCTTATCTACGACCCCTACCACCCCTCACTCACCCTGCCAGCTTCCTCGCTGTTGCTGAAACCCGCTAAGAGTGATCCTGCCCAGGATTTTTGTCCGTGCTGTGACGTCTGACCAGAAGCCATATATCTGCATGGCCCACTCTCTCACTTCCTTCAAGTTCCCCAGGAGGCTTCCATGACCAGCCTATCAGAAATAGCTGATCCCCAAAAGAAAAATGGAAGCCTCAGGAAATTTTGTTCAATGATGTATCATGAGGACAAAGAAGAGTGCCTGGCCCAAAGTGGGAACTTAATAAATATTTGTTGATCAGATATAAGAATGAAGATCAGAGACCAGGGAAGACGGTAGCCTCGTGCAGATTGGCAGCAAACAGAACCAGCACCTTGGGATCGTGAAAGCACGGGAGATCATAAAGTCCATGTCTTTGATTTCCTAACACTCCCCAGTGCCATGCAGTCTGGGGTTGTGAGGAGATGAAGAGAGCAGCAACATTAATGAAAATGTTCTAAAACTGGATTGTGGGGACGGTTGCACAACTCTATATATTTACTAAAAATCATTGAACCATATGCTAAAATGGGTGATTTTTATGGTGGGTAAATTATACCTCAATAAAGCTGTTGAGAGAGAGAGAAAAACAGAGTTAACAAAGAGACAGAGCCAGAGAGAAGTGACAGGGAGTAAAACAGGGACTCAGAACTCAAATATTCCTAGGCCTGAGATTGGATGCTCATTACGTCCCAGGATCGACTGGCAAGAGCTAAATCTCATGGCTGGTACAAACTACTGAGGAATAACACTAGTTTTCTATTTTCCCTCCTTCCTGGGTGACAGGCATAGATGTGAATGTGAATGCCACCTTCATCTATTCGGATAATGTGATTCACAGCTCAGGTGACTGTCGGAGCAGCACCTGCGAAGGCCTCGACCTACTCAGGGAAATTTCAGTAAGTATTCACCTTTGTAGACTTAGCTTACAGTGTCTTGGCACAGGACGACCACACTGGGAAACTCAGGCACATGTCCATGTCGCATCTCTGACCTACTCAGGGAAATTTCAGTAAGTATTCACCTTTGTAGACTTAGCTCACAGTGTCTTGGCACAGGACGACCACACTGGGAAACTCAGGCACATGTCCATGTCGCATCTCTCCCGCCAGCTCCAGCCGTGCAGCTGAACGATTTAAAGGCGGCGTACTCTGGCTTTAATCCCAGAGATTTCCCAAGTGATGAGGCCCTCCAGGAATCCAGGAAAGTAGGGTGAACCATAGCTATGTACTATCTGAACACTCTCAGTGGTATGGAGGAGAATTATTTTGTTTTAAGTTGTTTTTAAAACATTTTTAAAATTTAAACATTGGTATAAACTGGGTTGCCTTTGTGTCCCTCAAGAAATACCTGAGAAGCCATGTTTAAAAACACATTGGTAGTGGGCTGGCTGGTTAGCTCGTTGGTTAGAGCACAGCCTTATAACACCAAGGTCATAGACTGGGATCTCCATACTGGCCAACCACCAAAAACAATAAAGTAAATATAAAAGCCCATTGGGCCCCACACCAGAAATCCCTGTTTCAAGTCATCATCATATATCAAGTCAAAGGTTAGTGGCTTAAGGGCTGAACTTGACACCTAACCTTAAAGTAGTAATGGTAACGTCAAAGGACAGAAATGGGAAGAGAAAGATTCTTGCCTAATTCCCAGTCCCCAACCCCCAACCAGAGCTTTAAGAAGCTGAGTGTTGCAAGCTCTCTAGAGACAAGTCGGTACGCAAGGCACTCCCTTTCCTACAGAAACAAAGGAAAAAGCTGTCCAAAAAGCAGAGCACTGGGAGTACAGCCGTGGTTCCAAAACTTCAGTCAATAGCATCACAGCGACCAGACAGGCTATGCCCACGTCAGGCAGAGTGGCCATGACAGCCGTCATGCTCAGTCTGGAGAGGGTGGGGACAAACTCCACAATCCCAGCAGTAGGTGCTTTTTCCCTTTCCCTCTGGAGAGAAGTACGACCTGGTTCTCCCAATCCAGGCACGGGCCGTCATGCTCAGTCTGGAGAGGGTGGGGACAAACTCCACAATCCCAGCAGTGGGTGCTTTTTCCCTTTCCCTCTGGAGAGAAGTACGACCTGGTTCTCCCAATCCAGGCACGGGATATTCCTAACCAGGGTCCCCTTGATAAAAGGTGGAAAGTGAGGTCAGTAATCACCCAGTTGATCACGATCTATGTTGTTCACTTCAGCCCTGCTTTGGAGCTCTCCCAAAAACTGAACCGTGCCCTGTTCCTTCAAAGCACCCCCAAATCTAGTCTCCCCACCATCTGGCCTGAGATACTACTAACGTTACTGCCAATGCCTCTTCCACCTCTTCCCATCCCCCACTTGAGGAAGAATCCGGGCTCACCCTCAGCTGCTCCCCTGTGTGAAGCCTTCCCCTCCCCCACAGCATCTCTTCTCCCTCCCCCAGGCCGAGGCTCCTTTCTGCTCTGTGTGCAAACATTTGGGGCGGCCACTTTCTAAGCCTCTGGGAGCTCCCCCTTGCCTCTTCTTTCCTGTGCACTGAATAATTTTTTTCATTTTAGGGATCAGTTTTCGGTTTTGGTTTTGTTTTTGTTTCTCTCTCCTACAGACTAAAGACCAGATGGGCTGTGTCCTCATGGGGCCGTCATGTACATACTCCACCTTCCAGATGTAGTAAGTAGTCTGGTTTTCTGTTGCTTCCGTACTACTGTGAATGGAAGACAGGTCATGACATCGCAATTTAGACGATTTATGGAACAACAGTCCAGTCCAGGCAACACAATCAGCAGTGTTGAGACCTCGTATTTTGCCACTTCTCTACAACCACATTCCCTCGCCCAGATACTGCTGCCTTTGCCCAGCATGGGGTGACTGGCAGCAGCCGTTCAGGTTGCATTGCTAACATCTGAGTTTGTGAGGCAACATGGCATACATAAAAAGCCAAGGTCCTAACAGGTAACAAGGAAGACAGAGAACTGGGCTAATTTGAGGAGTTTAATAAGAAAATATTCACAAAAGTTGGGTAGATGGTGGGGAACACAAGGGAAGGTGCTGGGCATCTGCAGGGCTCTGTTCTGTGCTTAGGTCTGAGAAAGTAGAGAAGATAACACGGTACTTATTTCGTAGGGTTGAGGGTTATATAAATAGAATGTTAAAGTACTTTGTACAGTTCCCTTACCCTCTTAGATAAAAGCTGTCAATATATCCTAGAATGGCCGTACTTTTCCAGCTCTGGGAAAATCACCCTCATACCTTCCACTGGTGCCACTCAGTGTAATTCACATCACCCCCAACATCACACCTGCCCCAATCAAACAAAACCCTTCTCACATGCCTCCCCTGTTCACTCTTACCCTGAATCCAGAATCACCGTTCATCTACACAGAGATAACTGTGCAGAAGGACCCCGGCAATTGATTTTGAAGGGTAAACAATAGACCTCTGAAACGCCTGTTGCGAAGTGTGCTCCTGACTCTCACGCCCAACAGCATAAACAGACACAGATGCTCAGGCCCTGGCGTCTCAGACACACCGGGGAAGCACTTTCTGAGCCCGTCTTCCATGCACAGTGCTTGCTCTTCCTTGTATTCATTCTCAGCTATTGTCTTATCTGATCACTTACTAATATTGCTGTAGAGTATGCTCAGAAGAAGAGGAGGATTGGGAAACTGATACTCCATTTATGAGGAAGAATTTCTGTGTATAAAGAAGAATTTTAGCTTTGTCAGAGGAGAAAGAATTCACACAGCCCCTGCCCAGCCAAATAGAGAAGGTGACAAGGACTCTGGTGACTAATACGAGGCAGAGTGAGGTAGATTCCATCAGAGAAATATAAACAAGAAGCTGCAGAAAGCACAGGAGGAAATGATCACCTCTGGCTGAGGGGGTTAAGCTTCCAGAGGGGAAAGACTTCATGGAGGAGATGGTATCTGAGATGCATGTGGAATAACGGGCAGAAGCATAAGGTGTAGAGGTCAGGGCACACGCTTCCCAGCCAGGCCTCGGGAGAAGTACGTGTGAAAGCAGAGAAGCGAGAGATGATGAAAACTTGCAGAAGTCTGTACCAACTGGAGTTTAGGAAACGTATGGGGGAACAACAGAGATGAGACTAGAAAAATTAAGTATATTTGGAATGCATGTGACTCAAGTGCAGGTGAAGAAAGTTGTATTTAATGAGATTTGCATCAGAAACCACTAAGGTTTGGAGCCTGGGAGTGCCACGAGAAGCGGTTCTACTCTGGGAAGAATCATTGACAACAGTGTATAGGAAAGATACAGGCAGAGACTGATCACAGGAATGTCAGCAGCGGGGAAGGAGGGCCTGACTCAGCAAGGAAGCAGAGGACATGGACTGGGAGGACAGCTTTAAACGTATTTGAAGATAGACTCGATGGTTTTTGATAACTGATTGGATGTTGGGGGAAGGTGGTCAAAGAAGGATTTGAGATCTCAAAACACTAAAAGAAATGGAAAAATCATTTGAGGAATAAAAATAAAAGATAAGCTGGACCATGAATATGGCGAGTTAGAGGTAAAAGCAGCACACTAGTAAAACCTTTCAGGGGAGCACTGAAGGCGGAAGGAGATGTTGTTTCCCTTCCTTCATTCAATGCATATTGAGGACCACATCTGAGTCAGGCACACTGGAGATGCTGAGGTGAGCAAACCAGGCCTGGCCCCTGCCTTCAGGGAGCTTTCAGTCTAGCAGAGAAGATAGATGCTAAAAAGATACTCACCCAAATAATTACCTGGTCTTAGGTATCAAGGAAAGTTTTCTGATAGATAAAGAGACGTTTAATCTAGGACCCGAGGAGTGAGTAAGAGTCAGCCAGGCAAGGGACCATCATTCCTGGCATTGGTCAAGGCCCTGATGGAGCATGAAGCTGGATGTATTTAAGGAACTGGCAGCAGATTTACATTCTGAACAGGGGAAGGAAAGATCTCACATCCTCAGCTGACATCCATCTCAAAGAGAGTCCACAGCAGAGCTGGAAGGAAGGCAGTGGATGGAGGGAAACGTGTAGAGGGCATCTTCCTGGCTTTGCAGCGATTACGGTAGCTGTGGTGGCCCATCTGTTTTCTTAGCCCTACTCCCCAAATCCCATAAAGTTTAGAATAAATCGAAGTAATCAAGCCACATATTCGTGAAACTGCCTACAATATGCTCGGAACATATGAGCACATGCTCAATAAATGTTTTTAAATTCATCTGTGTGGGAGAGACACCTATATAAAATAACAAACCTGCTTTAATGACCCTTTTTCTTTCTTACCACTTATACATGCATGCTGAAACTAGTTAAAGAGGGATTTATTTGTGCTACTTAAGTTAATCCTGTTATCGGTTTGTTTGTTTTTCTCACCTCTTGGTATAGCGTTGACACAGAATTGAACTACCCCATGATCTCAGCAGGAAGTTTTGGATTGTCTTGTGACTATAAAGAAACCTTAACCAGACTGATGTCTCCAGCTAGGAAACTGATGTACTTCTTGGTTAACTTTTGGAAGGCCAATGATCTGCCATTCAAAACTTTTTCCTGGAACAGTGCATATGTTTACAAGGATGGTACTGAGTCTGAGGACTGTTTCTGGTAAGCAGGATAATTAACATTCTGCTGGCATTTGCCATGGAGAGAAGCCATAGACTCATGACAGAACACCTGGCTATTATCAGATGCACCTTCCATCTGTAGCAGCACTGGAAACAGACACTTGCCCACTTTCTTACACACAAATAAAAGCAAAGGGGTCAAAGCAAATATAGTATAATAAAAATAATTAGTATAGATTGCATGTACAACACTTTCTAGTTTTGAAAGTGTGCTCACATTAGTTTTATTGATTCCCCATAGTAAGTACACTGAAGAAAAGAAAACAAGTGCTATAATCTGCATTTACATATAAGGAAAACAAAAACCAGAACTCAATGTTTTCACACTGCTATGAAAGATATACTAGAGAATGTGCTTTCTGCTTATACCTACAATTAGTTAGAAATAATTTCTCCCACATCCTTTCAGAGGAACAAGGGGCCAGGGAGAACAGGAAAAATAGGTACCATTGCTAACAGAAAATTGCAAGGTTCACTCAACTCCAGCAAAAGTGGAGGAAGGAATCTTCTGGTTGGGTTACTGGCTGTACTTCCAGGGTACTGCTTAGTTCTACAGTCTCTCTCCACCTAAGCATGCAGAAGACTAAGACAGGATACCATCAGGGATGTGCATTTGTGGAGGAAGGAATCTTCTGGTTGGGTTACTGGCTGTACTTCCAGGGTACTGCTTAGTTCTGCAGTCTCTCTCCACCTAAGCATGCAGAAGACTAAGACAGGATACCATCAGGGATGTGCATTTAGGAAACTACAGGAATCAACCCTAAGACCTCACCCTAGAAACTTTGGGGTGAACTTAAAACACACAAAAGTTCATTTCACAAAGGAGCAGGAACTTTTCCTATCAACTCTGAATTTTGGTATTGTAGATTCAAAAGTTTCAACTTGCCTATGATAATGGAGAGTAGAACCTTCCTATATACATACATGAAGATTCCATAAAACTTCCCCTGCACTTTCATTAAATTAGATGCTCCTAATCCAAACCATTGGTATCATAGTGTGTACTGTCCATTGCATTAACAGCAGAAATGAATTTTGGATGAACACCTCCCAGGACAGATCTGCAAATGACAAGTGAAAGACACAAGAGGCCATGAGGAAACTAGGCTGGCTTCTTAGTGTCTCTTTTTCCTGTTCTAGGTACCTCAATGCTCTGGAGGCTGGAGTTTCCTATTTTTCTCAGGAACTCACCTTCAAGGAGATGCTGAGAGGAGAGGACCAATTTCGGGATATCTTAACGGACCGGAACAGGAAAAGCAATGGTAAGAAGATCTGAAGATCATGTCCTCATGACCATCACCTCCTTACACGCCGTTTCAACAGCTCTACCACTGCAGAGCTATCATCATGACGTGTGTAGATTTTGCATATTTGGGGAGACCTGTAGTTGCATACAACTTCATTATATCGGTCCTTTCACAGACTAAAACTTTATCCTGAGAAAATATGAAACAGTTTTGAGTAAATATACTAACAAGATGAAAGTAATGATAATGCTAACATCCAGCTTTTATAAACACAAATGATATCATGACCCACCACCAGTAAACTGCTCTTTAAGTTCACCTCAATCCCACATATTATTGGATTTGGGACTAATCCTCACACATTCTGAACCCTGATCCCCTAATGACCAAGAGGATAAATTTACTGACATATGGCCTCAGGCAAAATCACAAGGTAAGCAAAACTTGTCTCACTTTCCTAGACTTTCTGTGTCTCACCTGTCCAGTGATCTCTCAGCTAGAGGCCGCGTGTGAGAGACTAATGGGATAAAATCATCCTCATGAAGTTATCAGGGGATTTGTTGCATTTTAAACTATATTCTTTCTAGAAACAAGAACATAGCAAGAGCAAAGAAGTCAATTGTGGGAGTTTCCTACAAGGGAAGATGCTTGCTTGGCAGATTTCCTGATAGCACTCAAACCATCATCCACTGCCATTATCCAGGGTTTGCAATATTAAGAACTTACCAGTTATAAAAACATTAACCAAGGTATGGGGGAAATAGGAGTATAAAATTATTCATGTCCCTAAAGAGTTTACAATTCATCTGGACATCACAGCATATAAAAACATCAAATGAAGTGTCCCCAACTCCTCTTACTCATAAAGCCATGTATTCGGGAGACAGCTGGTGGGAATTAGTGGTAGAGTTTCAGCTCGGACTCTTTCACTGAAATCACTAAGACTGAGTTTTGAGTTAAGAAACTATAGACAAAGCCCAAGAAAAATGGCTTAGGGGGACTTTATAAATTCTTCTCACACTCACTTTTGCTACATCTCTTTCAATAACTTTTACAAATAGTAAGGTGCACTTCACTTATCTGTGAAAGTAGCTTTTGTAACCACCCCCGCCTGGTATAATGGGATAAGCACTGAACCAAGACTCATAAACTTGACTCTCAGTGCTATCTGTCATCTACTAGTTCTTTGACCCTTTGGCATATTGGCTTCAGCCTCCTTAAATCTATAAAATTAAGGGAATAGACTACATAACATTTTGAAGGATCTCATGCTTTAGTTCTATTCTGAACCTATAACTGTAAATGGGGAAAAAAAGAAGAAGAAGGCAGGGTGGATTTGAGAAATGGGTGTTAATCTTAAAAAAAAAAAAAAGTAACATGGACACGCCAGTTTCAAGTTCAGGCGGCTGGTTCCCTCCCTGTGTATGGACCATCACACGTTTGTCTCCTTGTCTTGCTCTCTCTCCTCCAGTGATTGTTATGTGTGCTACCCCAGAAAACATCCACAGCCTCAAGGGTGATCGAGCAGCAGCGGAAGACGTTGTCATTATTCTAGTGGATCTATTCAAGTAGGTACAATATATGGAAACACTTCTTTCAGAAAGGAAGTCGTCCAAGGATTTCTGGGAGACACATTCCCTTTTCTCTTGCTTTGCACAGCCTCTTATGGGGTTTGGTATGATGATACTATTTGAACCAAAGTTTTACTTCTTCTTCCTCACACCCTCATTCTTATTTAATCAATTGTGGCCTTAGCAGAGATGTATTCCTTTGACATCTCTATCATGTCTAAATACAAAAGTTTTTTTTTTTAAAAAAGCCCCACGAAGCCCACATGTCCATTTGTCTATGAGGTCTACTCAGTCAACATAGGATCCTGATCTCCAGCCTGATTTTAAAGTCTATGTCTAGGGAATGAGAAATCAACTAATAATTCAATAATATTATTCCTGGGAATATGGAGCACATTTTTTCCCTTCAGTCACTAATGGCCTTTGGTCCTGGATTGCTTTTCCTGCAGCCACCTTTGACAAGAGTAAAGTTTTGTTTATATGACTCTGATTCACGCAGTTATTCTTTGCCCTTTGCAGCAGGCACTAGGTGGTGATCTTTTCCTCCACACTTCTCCAAGACTAAGGACAGAAAATTCTGGAGAGCAGAAACTACCTTTTATCACATCCAGTCTTACTTTTTACCCTTCATTTTGTAATATAATTGGAGATCCCACTAACAAACTGTGCCAAGTTTATGTTTGAGTCAGGCTAAGTATAAAGAAGGTGTTGCTGGTGGGCCTGTGTCCCTTGTCCCCAGCAGCCAGATCACAGGACTTCACTTATCTGACTGGATCATTAATCATTACCTCTCTGTATTCAGACCAGAGGCTGTTACTGTTCTAGATCTTTCCCATATTTGCCTAGTCATTTTGTCCACACTAAACATAATTTTACAGCATGAAAGAAAATGAAGCATAAGCCTGCTTGATGGTTAGATGTTCACAAAGATAATTCATCAATCAATTTAGCCTTTTAGCTGCAGAAGTATAGGAAAAAGGGCAAAGTTATCAAAATTTAACTCCTACAACCACACTGATTTCCATAGCTGCTTTGGCCATTGAAAGGAGTCCTCATGCAGCCAGGTTGGTATAATTTTACTTTCAGCAAATCAATCCTCAGTCAGCTGCCAAAGTGCTGGCATTCCTTTATCAGTATTCCCAAAGGACACCTGGCTATGTTTTGGGAAGACTGTAAGATTCAAAACTAGACATAACCTGGCTTCAAATTCTAATTCTGACACTTCTGATTCTTTTGACTCTTGGACATTTCTTAGCATCTTGAGATTAAATTTTCTCATTTGTAAAATGAGAATTAAAATGCCCAGTTTTAAAAGGTGCTTTTAGGATTAGGTGTGATAATGTAAGCAAAATACCCAACACGGTCCATAGCACATAGTAGATGTGTTTAAACATTAAATGATGGTTACCATAAAGACAGCAGTTCAAACATGTTAGATTCTTAGCATATTAAGGCATCCAAAAGATTAGGAAGCTTAGAAACCACATGATTTTCAATCTCAGTATTGAGAGTCTACAGTGTACCAAGCATTGTCTAGAGTTGAAGATACAAGGATTGATAAGGTAATGCCCTATATGTTAAGAAGCTTACAGTATTAGAAAAAATGTTAGTATTTTTATGGTTATGTTACACCATCTGAAAAGTAAGTTTAATTATAAAATTTCTCTCTACCATATCCCAATATCTCTAAATTGCTAAGAGAACTTAAGGAAAAGAAAGTTTCCAGGTGTATACCACGGCTTTCATTAAGCTTTGAAAGCAAGCACTAGCTCACTAATCCAGAGCCCAGAAAATCTCCCCCAAAGAAGTATCACTATTCAAATTTTCCTTTCCATTGGTATATATTAACCACAGCTGCCAGAATTTCCTTTATTCAACTTAGCAAGTATAGAAGAAAATAATCCTATCTGGGGAAAGTAGAAAGTTTTGCAGATTACTGAAAAAAAAAAGTTTTTTTTTTTGTTTTTTTTTTAAAGATGACCGGTAAGGGGATCTTAACCCTTGAATTGGTGTTGTCAGCACCACGCTCAGCCAGTGAGCGAACCGGCCATCCCTATGTGGGATCCGAACCTGGGGCCTTGGTGTTATCAGCACCGCACTCTCCCGAGTGAGCCACGGGCCGGCCCCAAAAAAAGTTTTAAACCATCTTCAAGGGCAGATGCTATAGTTTGTAAAAGACACATCTCTATTTTTGAAGGAAGCTAATTTTCATGAGGAATCTGTGTTTTTTTATTACAGTGACCGCTACTTTGAGGACAATGTCACAGCCCCTGACTATATGAAAAATGTCCTTGTTCTGACACTGCCTCCTGGAAATTTCACCTTTAATAACATCTCTGAGGATTTATCAGGGGTAAGATATATACATAGGTAGATAAATAGAGATACAGATATATATATATATATATGCTCATATACATACTATTGTCTTCTTTGTGAAGGGTAAGGTAATTATTTTCCTATTCAGACCTAAATTCTAAAATGAGCAATTATTTTTACTCATTCCAATTCACGCGACAAATGTTAACTGAGTGCACGTACAGGGCTTTGCAATAGCAGGATCCCTATCAAAACTTTTGCTATAGGTCACTGTGCTGGACTCTAGGGCAGTGCAACAGGGGTTGCTTCTGCAACATCAGAATGGAAGTTGTAATACAGTAAGACAGGGAGAAGCCCTGCTGTTGAGGAGCCAGTCTTACAATTGGAGGAAGTAGAAATTAAACAATGTAAAGTAAGGGGTTACTTGAAAGTTCCCTACATCTTAAAGTAAACTTCTCCTGTCATCGATGCCAAAATTCTACCTTTAAATTTATTTTTTGGCAGCTGGCCAGTACAGGGATCCAAACCCTTGACCTTGGTGTTCTAACTCCACACTCTAACCAACTGAGCTAACCAACTAGCCCCAAATTCTACCTTTAGAGATATGTATTCCTAGGTTAAGACATTGTCCTCCATTACGACTAAGTTGACAATTGTCCAGATTTGCTCAGGAGAGTTGATTTATTCCCGTTATCCCAATATCCCATCTGGCTTAGCATTTACTGAAGAAAGAAAGGTCCCCATTTGGCCACTAAATCATGGTCACCTTATAATTCAGGGCCCCCGACTCTAACCGCATTGAGGTTTGTCAGTACCTTAATGTGGTTAGATTTATAGATGCATTCTGTCCTCAGAGACAAACAGTTGAGAGCAGGTTTGAAATGGGAGCAGGAAAAAGGGGAAATCCTGAGGACCCTAAACAACTTCAGGATGACAAGTCAAGGGCCAAGCCCAAAAAGCTGTAAGGAAAGGTGAATACCTCTGGGGGTATCACAGATTTTCCTAGACTAGCAGTTCGAAGCCCTCCACCTTACAACCCTGCCAAAATTAAGGGGCTGCAACCTCTTCTTGGCCTGGGTCTTAACTGGAGTCTTTTCATCTCATGAAATGATGATTTCAGCAAAAGAAACTGAGACCAATGAAAGAGGTTTTATTTTTTCTTTTTATATTTTATAGCGAATATAGTTCTGGGTGTAGTATCCAGACTACACTGGATACTAACTTTCACTGGTTCTCAACTCTAGCGAAGGTATGATTCTTCATGGTGGACAGTCCAAAACGCCCGAGGTAACAGAACTCACCTGCTGTCAGTGGATCAAGAGCTTTTAGTTCATAGTCAAGCTCTGTGAAGATCAGCATGTGACAGTCACGAAGGCAGAGGAGCTCTGACCCTCGCCATTACTTTCCCAAGGGGCAGACATTTGGGGCCTGAAGAACTGTCAGAACCCAGTCAGAACTGTCTTCAAAGCAAGTTTAATGAAAGCAAGTGTAATCCAATCAAAACTCCTTATGTCCCATTCAGGACACTGAAAGACAGGTGGTGTTTTTGTTTTGTGGTTTTTGGTTTTCTCTTTTGCACTTAAGTGATAACATTAAACTACAAGAGAACAGTATTTCTATATAAAATCTTGCAAGAATTGTGAAAATGCTTCATGTTTTCTTTCCTGGTTGCAATTGTAAATTTTGTCATCATGGGAAGGAAGCCTAAGTGCTCAAAGTTACTTCCCTAGAGGCAGTGTTCCTGATTTACTGATCCTAAGAGAAGGCAGAGTTGTGACATGGAATTGGTTTTCTCTTTTGCACTTAAGTGATAACATTAAACTACAAGAGAACAGTATTTCTATATAAAATCTTGCAAGAATTGTGAAAATGCTTCATGCTTTCTTTCCTGGTTGCAATTGTAAATTTTGTCATCATGGGAAGGAAGCCTAAGTGCTCAAAGTTACCTCCCTAGAGGCAGTGTTCCTGATTTACTGATCCTAAGAGAAGGCAGAGTTGTGACATGGAATAATAAAGGGCACTGGCCCAAGGAAGGATTTCCCAGAAGTCTCCTTTAATACCATCTCTCCCATTCCCCTAATATCCCTTTACTTTTCCAGTTACCATCCTGATCCCAAGAATATTTTGCTCCAGGCTCAAGACCAGAATCTTTTGGGAACCCATCTTAAGATTTTCCTTTCTCATTTAGGCAAAAAATGACTTTGCTCTTGCCTACATGGATGGAGTCTTGCTCTTTGGACATATGCTGAAGATATTTCTTGAAAATGGAGAAGACATTCTCACCTCCAAATTTGCTCATGCTTTCAAGAACCTCACTTTTGAAGGTACTGGTCTCCTGAGAGCAAACAACAAAGCTGAAGAAATTCAGGCTTTGTGAATGGACTTTGGAAACAAAGAGGGGGGTTAACCTGATGGTTCAATAGCTAAATAACTTTGAACTCAAGTGGAGGCAAACATCATTGCATAAACTTGGGGATGCTATTGTTGATAATTGGACCCAAGTTTATGCTACAGAATTTCATCATCTTTGAAGATCATAGAAAGAGCATGTAGCTCTTGGGACACATAGGATGACCAATAAGTGATTATCTCTCCTTCCCTGCTTCTTAAGGGAGTGGAAGTAATCTCTTAAGAACAAGCTTATCACAAGGCATTTTGAGCAGTTATGTCTTGATTGAGCTTGGAGACTAGCAAGAAGAGAAATACTTGCCATTTGATTCTGGTCCCTCCACATCTCCTTGTCTGTCCTTCACGAATCTGGAACTTTGTGTTAGACCTCTGTCTACCAAACCCCTCCTAATAATACCATCCAAAAGAACATGCCCCTCTCAGCCACGTGGGTCAACACTCCCTTTTCCCATATCTCCTATTGAAACTGCCATCTTTCACTTCCCAGATCCCATCCAGAGACTATGAAGAAATTAGCTTTTAAATGTAATGTATATTTCTGGGGTCAGAGTATTTGAGTCTCTAACAAAATGTATCAAATGAATGGAGAGAAGCCAAGCCATTTCATTCTCTGGTTATCTCAATGACAGATGCAAATTAACTTACGATTATTTTGGCTGGGATGCTCAGTATTGATAGTAAAAATGGCCACAGCTCAGTTTGTCACACACAGACACTGCCTAAGTGTTTAAACACATTAATCAAAAATCTTACACAGTTAAGTTCAATTTGAGTGACAGCACTAAGAGAGCCTTGGGGACTGGAAGGCAGGCTGGATTGAGGTAAGCTGGCTATCTACCTCTTTTTTTGTTTTACCACCTTGCCCTGACACATCTTTTCTTAAGCCATCTGCTTCCTTCATATCACTAGAGAACAAGGCACAGGTCACATTTCCTCTGTTTATCTAACAGCATACTTGTCAGTGACTTTATGTATAAGTCCTTATTGATTCAAGAACTTGTATTTTCAAATAGGAAAGTATGTTACATTGGAAATTATATACTCTAGGGAATCAATGACATGAAATTTTCTGAAGTAGATTCAGTGATTTCATAATTTTAATTTCATTTGTATATGCCCATATACTAATTCTGAGCTGTGCTAAAAGAAATAGATGTATGAAAAAATCCTATATATTTCATGACCAAATGGATTAAAAAAAAATATGTGCTGGTAAAAAAATAAATAAATTTAATGTATACTAAGTGAAAGATATAGCTGCCTTCTCTAACTTGCCTTAAAGTCTTACTCTGGGAAACCTTTGTCTTTCTGCGGAGTGAGTCTTCCCGCATTGGCTTCAGAGGACAGCAGACACCCAACATAAGGTCTGGCGGCTGCAATGGCTGTGTTGTGTGACAATGATAGGAAGAGATCACTTCTGCACCCCTACAGAAACAGAGAGGGGAAGACAGTCATTTAATGTTCATCCAATATGTCCCAAGTTCTGCCAGGTGCTTTATGTGCATTCTTAATTTTCTCACATCCATGATCATGGTCAAGCATCCTAATGACTAGCACAGGCTCAGAGCCAGGAGACATTTCATTTGTGTCTAGTTTAGCCACCTACTAGCTGTACGACCCTGAGCAAGTTACTTAATATCTCTGACTTCAATAAATAAAATATTTGTCATCAATTAAACGGAGACCATAATAGTTTCTATACCATGGTATTCCAGGGAAAATAAAATGATAAATGCATATAAAAGCACTTAGCACAGAGCCTGATATATAGTAAATGTGAAATAAATGTTAGTTATTATGTTGAACCGTGTGAAATTGCTGAGTTGATCATTTTTTACATAAATGGCCATTTCATAGGTTCATCATATACTATTATTTCATAGATGATAAAGCAAAAACTCAGAGAACTTAAGTAATTTTTTCAATGTCTTCAGCCAATAAGTGATAGAGATTTGATCTTTTTACAATTTAAGTTAGATTGTGCAATGATCTATACACTATGCTACTAGTTTAGCAAATGTTCTTAGAAAAAAATGTATCACTATAATCGAGGAATTTATTGACTGATTACATTGAGTGCCATCCTAAATGCAATGTAAAAGATTTTTTTCTTCTAAGTAAATAACATCTCCCCTAAAAATATCCTTCAGAGATCTTAGGGTCAAGAACCAATCCAGATCACTCTGATTAGACCATTAAGGTCAACAATTTTGAAATAGAACAATTTGAACCCATTTTATACTCTCTGTCAGGATCCAACTGGTCTGTCAGGCAAGAAGTAAACAATGGCCTCTCATGCTGTCTGATTTTGCCCTAGGGTATGCGGGTCCTGTGACTTTGGACGACTGTGGGGATATTGACAATACTATGGTGCTTCTGTATACTTCTGTGGACACCATGAACGTATGTCTGACTCCTATCAGGAAACGTGGGTGATGCGACTGGGTGAGGAGGGATGACTTGGAAGAGGGGCAATAGTGAGGGAATTAGAGAAGTTATGTTTAGGATTTCGAGATAGTGCATTTCAGCTTTACAATTATGCCCCACTTGGGCAGTATTCCTTACGCATTCTTACTGATAGAACTTCTTACTCAGAATATCCTGTTTACCAGATTTTAAAAATCCACCCAGAATAAGTTGATATAAAGATCAGACTATTGATGGGATACCAATGAAAAGATAACAGGTCTTTCCTAAAAATTGTTCATTCATTTTCACAATTAAAGATTTCATGAAATATTTCCATGAAAATCATTAGCTATGTAATCCTTCAGGCTTACATAAACAGCCCTATAATGTTATGCTTTTATTCACATCATGTATGTCTTTTTTCCTCTCCTACACAGTAGGTCCTTTAAAGAAGAGAGTGGGGTCTTACCTCTCCATCTCTCCAGTGCTTAGCTTCTTATCTGGCACATAGTCAATGGTTGATCAGCATTTAATTTGAAAACAAAACACCTGTCTTTATGTCATCCAAAGTTGTGTCTATCCAAACTGTGAAAGCCACTGTTCCAGCCAACCAAGTGGTCAACAGAAAGCTTTTTGCTTTAAGAGGTCAGGTCCTGACATAACTAGGAATCTAAGAGAAAAAGTTGCTAATTTTTTCACTTTCCAGTGTGAGCATTATTGCACCCTTAAGTCATACATTGAGTGTATATATTGACCTAGGCTTGGAAAAGATATCTGCAATGGCAAATGTAAAAAAGCTAGAGAAAAGATGTTTGGACTGAGAAAGCTAAGCCAGAAATTTGGGGACAGCATTTCAGAAAAGTAATCCATAGTTTTAGTTATTATATTTTATCTTTAATATAATGCCATATTTGGCATATATTCCATGAGAATACAGTCATCTCTTGGTATCTGAGGGGGATTAGTTCCAGCCTCACTCCCAAACCAAAATCCGCACATGCTCCAGTGCCATATAAAATTAGTGGTATTTTGCATATAACTTGCTCACATTCTCTGGTACACTTTAAATCATCTCTAGATTACTCATAATACCTAGCACAATGTAAATGCTATGAAATAACTGTTACACTGTATTGAGTTTTTTACTTGTATTATTTTTTATTGCTGTATTGCTATTTTTATTTTTTCTGAAATATTTTCCATCCACGGTTGGTTGAATCCCCAGACGTGGGACCCACAGATAAAGAGACCCAACTGTACCTTAAAATAAGGTCCCCTCAATGCATCAGTTACTGGTAGTAACTACAAAGACAGCTACGTTCCACTCTGAGTTATTTGCACCTGGGGTGATACCCTTTCCTCCCACAGAGACAGGCAGACACATGTGGCGAGATCGTGTCAGCCTCATGACTGTTCTTCAAAATGAAACATGTTCTGTGCACTTACTCTCTCACAGCAAATTTGGTTGAATTTTTCAATAATCTAATGCCATCAATTGTGCTACATAATATGTATATTTTGAGAAACCAGGGATTAATTCTCAAAACATAGGGCTATAGAGACAATAATCCATATCTGGGGTAGATCTCAATAGAGATTCAATATGCCATACATACCCTAATATATATGCTATTTCCCATCCTCCATACATGCAATTATAAATTCTGCCCTCAAGTTAAGAGTAAAGTTTTATGACTAAGTGAGCCTTTCCTTGCCATGGCCCCCACCCTTGTCCCCACCCTGGGACTCACCCTCAGGGGCTTTGTTTCTGGGGAGGAAAAAAAGTGGAGTTCTCAAAATGTAAAACTTTTGTCCAGAACATTTTGAGGGAACAAATTTGGAAGGATGGTCATTTTAGATATCTCTTACAAAATTGACTCAATACATGCAGCAGTAATTTAAGGATGTGTTAATATTTCCATTGGCAGAGTACTCGAAAAAGAAACCTTTTATCTTAGAACATAATGAGTGTCATTACAAGAAAGTATATTAGAGCAAAGGGATAGAAGAGATTAGAAGATTACGTAATTGGTAGAAGTTAAGAAATGTAGAATGATTTTAGGGCCCCTTGACAATGTATCAAAATGTTATAATAGATTTTAGCCCTGATGCATTTTCTTGAGAGACTATTTTCAAAAGCATCTTAATATTGTGGAAAACACTGGTGCTTCTTTTGTCCTGTGACTTGGAGCTAGCCATTTGATATTTCTTCATTTTAACATTTGTGAAATGAAAGACTTGAACTGATTCTCTGAAGACCCAAAGAATCTGGGTCGGGCAGGGTTAACGGCATAGTGTGTGGTCATAAAGGTATAGAAAACTAGGCAGCCCACATGGAACTTAAATCCATGTTCATGCTGTGAACCAATAAACAGATCTTAACTAGCTGGTTAACAATTACCTTGTTTCACTAAAGTATTATAGAATTCAAGCATGTTGGATAGGACAATCAATCTCATCAGAAGTTGTCATAAAATGTCTTTTTTGTGTTCCTCTTTTTTCTCTTTTGTGCTCTGACACAGTACAAGATTCTTCTGACCTATGACACCCATGTAAATATGACTGACCCAGTAGATATGAGCCCCACGTTCATCTGGAAGAGCCATAAACTTCCTAATGATATTCCAGGCCTGGGTAAGATATCCTTAGTGAATTTTCTTTCCCTGAAATTATTTTCCTGGTAAGGAGAGTAAATGCTATGGCTTATGCGATTAGCCTATGTTTTTTGTTTCGTTGGGTTGTTGTCCCAATTGGATTTGACAGGCTTGTGGAGTTTACTTCCCTGAACAATAAATGATATTATGGTTCTGATTAAACACTGATAACACCCCTATTCTAATTGAGCTGTATCTATATTTAAAATGGGTCCTACCCTTTGGCATAAATTATCCCTTTAGAAAACTAGGTTTGACAATGGGCACAAGTGACCGCAAAAACGTTTGTTCTTACTCCATTTACGTTTTACTGCAATAAGCTCAAAGGATACATATCTCAAGGAGGAATACTCCATATATCATCATAAGAGGTGGTCAGTGATTATGGCTTTAAAGCTTCTCCCATTCATTCCTTCACAGGTCATATGTTTGGGGTGCAATGATGGTTACCCACGTACTTGAGCCATATATCATCATAAGAGGTGGTCAGTGATTATGGCTTTAAAGCTTCCCCCATTCATTCCTTCACAGGTCATATGTTTGGGGTGCAATGATGGTTACCCACGTACTTGAGATGAGGCCTTATCATGTCTTGAAAAGCCTTAACATGGCTAAGCCGTCACCCATGGGACTATATGATATTAACTATCAGCAGGCAGGGCCAATCAGGTGTCTCTCAGGCAACAAGGTCTCAGGACAGTCTGTCCATAACTGGTTTGGCCAGAGCTTACCATAATAAGCAGTAATTGCATGTTACTAATCCATCTTTAGGAAAACAATTTTAAATTTGGGAAAATATTTATGTCCAAAGATGAAAAAAAAAGTAGAAATATCATTAATAAAATTATGTAGAAAATTATGATATATTCATGAATGCTGCATCATACAATCAAAAATGATTTACAAAGACTTTTAAATGACATGGGAAAACTTATGATGAAAAGTAACAGGAAAAATACAGCTTTTTATTTAATGATTCTAACTTTGCAAAACAATGTATAAAAATAAAACCAGAGGAAAATATGTTAAAATGTTAACACTGGTGACCTCTAAATAATAATATCCTAGAAGAAAGTTTTTTGCCCCTTTATATTTTCCTGAATTTTCCAAATTTTTCATGATGATTCTGTATCAGTTTATCATTTTTAAAAAGCATTTTTTTAAATGTAGAAATATTTCTACCCCAGCCGTGCTCTACAGCCAGGAACTCAGAAAGTTTGATCTGGCTTAAAGGAATCTTTCTGGTTCCATGGGCTTGTCAAAGATGTCATTCATTGTCAAGATGTCAAAGATGTACCTATGTTTCTAGTACTCTTTCACTCCATGAGTCAAATATGGTCCAAAACTTCCTAGTTTTAAACCAAACTTGACTCCTGAAATATATCTTTCCTCACGGGTTTCTGCAACTTTCTATTTCTTCCTTTAGTAACTTTTTCAGGTAATATTACTTTTTCCTTCTCAATTATACCTCTGAGTGACATTAGGTTTGTGTTTTTAATATATTTCTTTAAAGTTTTTAGGTATTCTGGTTATTAAATAGAAGGTCTGTGATTTGTAAAGTGCTGAAGTCAAAAAGTAATTTTCTAGCAAGCTCTCATTATTTACTTAAGAGATATTAAATATTCATATTATATATGACAGAGACATTATATCATCCTGGCCAACTTCACTTTATCTTCATTCAACCAGAAAACCCAGTTAGCCAGAGATTTTCATTACTTAACTGTTACCAACTTTCATTTTGAACTGTACAAATAAAGTAACTCAGTCTTTCAAATAGTGTGCAAACAAGATAGGCACGCCTGGTCTTTTATCTGTGTACACAACTGCCAACCAAGTAACAGAACGTTTCATCTGGAGATGACGCCATCACTGTCTTTTCATTAGTCTAACAAAGATTTACTTAATGCCAGACAATGTTCTAAGCCCTGGGATACAGCAATGGACTCTGCAGATTTGGTTCCTGTGCTCATCTGAGACCTACCATCCGCGTCCTGGATTACAGTTGTAACATCAAGTGACTTCCTCCTCAGTGCTGCCCACCGCCAATCCAACCCACACTGCCACCAGAACGAAAGCACAAATCTAGACACGTCACTGCCCTGTTGCTAACTCATCAATTGGCAGCTCCACTTTTACAGGATAAAGTCCGAATGGCAACACAGCACAAAACGTCCATTATCTTCCTCCTTCTCCATCCTCATCTTCCATTTGCCTGAAATCCCTTCTCCCATGCTCTCAACTTCCTATTTCCTTAAAGAAAAGGTCTTGCAACTTTATGCCACTGTGTCCTTATTTATGCTAGCTACTCCTTCTGCTAGAATTTATCACAATTCCATACAACCGGTAAACATCCACTCATCACTGAGACTTAACTCACATCTCACTTTTCCTAAGCTTTTTCCTAACATCCCAAGAGGTCATTAGTCTTGCTCTGACCCTGCCTGACTTCCAGCATACTTTTTATATCACACTGATTTGTTTACACATCTTTCTGTACCATACACTATATAAGAGAAGGGTACATTCTTTGCATCTCCTTGCCCCCACACAGCGCCTTGGAATGAATTAATGACAACAGGAAATAACTAAGCATATATTTCTAATCTGGACTCCAGCACTGATCTACAGTGTGTTAATTTCAGTCCATTTTCTCTTCTGTGTGAATTCCTTCCTCTGCTAAGCCAGGAGATTTAACAGGTTCCTTCCAACTATAATACTTGACCTTGGGGTTATAAACTTGTTCTCATTGTGAAACGAGTTAAATAGAATGTGATAACCACAGCAGCCACCAGAAGGCAGCAGAAGCTTAACCTTAGAACTAACGTGATATTGTGATATATCTACCAAGCAAAACTAAAAAGTCAATTGAATTAAAAACTACTATATTTAAATAGTATAGAGTATACTAAAATACTATATGTAAATATAATTATATCTAGTATGGTAAAATGTTTATATTGTGGGCAGATAGGAATTGAGATGGGCTGAGGAGTCCTGCATAGTCCTTCCAACTTGTGCTCTGGTCTAGGGGATGTGCAATTTTAGCAGACTGGTGAATGGAGTCACCTGCACTGTTGTAATTGCACTTCTTGCACTCACTTTTATTTTTATCTGGGGTTGGGGATGTGATGATGGTGGTAGGGGCAGTGGTGGTGGTGATGAAGTGGTGATTATAGCAACTAACAGAATTCACCAAAGTCAAATGTGCTCATAATGTAACATCAACTCCCAGGTATGAATTTATTTTTGTCCAGATGAGTAGAAATCCAGAGCTCACGTTTTCAGTTAAAAATTTCCCCTTAGCACAAAACAAGATACTAAGCGGTCAGAGGTAAAGTCACATGTTAGCAAAGCATAAGCCCTTGAAATTCACCACTGATAAAAAGGTGCTGTAGGATTTACCCCAAGCTAACCTCTCGACCTTAGAAAAATGGTTAGTGCACTAGAAGGACATAGAGTGATGAGACAAAAGCAGTTTAAAAATGCATGTAACATGTGAGAAAAGTCTAATGGCTAATATATGAATTTGTGTATTTTAATGTCTGGGCATCTTTTCCTGGATTCTTCTTAGTAAGATGAGCAGGGGCAAGTTTTTATTCAACTATTTTTTGTTCAGCTATTTTTTGTTGATACTTTACCAGGTACCAGGTCTTGTGCTAAATGTACAAGAAAAAGTAGAACGCGCCCTCAAGGAATTTACATTATGGTGCCGTGATAGAGAATACAGCGTGAGGGGTTGGGGGCTACTTTAATAAAGAGGTCTTGGTACCTCCTCTTCAGGGACACCATCATTAATTCCTTAAGCAAAGAAAAATTCACACACGTGATTCTGAAATCCAATAGTACAGA